CACTAGCCACATGTGGCTGTTGAACCCTTGAAATGTGGCTGGAGTTATGGAGGAAGTGGGTTTGTAATATTACTTTTAATTAGTGTAAATTTGAATAGCTAGTCAGGCTGATGCCTACCATATCGGACAGTCCAACTCTAGATGGATGGTCTACGTCCCGAAAGGATGCAGCCCTCCCTACACCTTGATTGTAGCCCACTGAGACCTGTGTCAGACCTTAGACCTGTGGAGCTGTAAGATAATACATTTCTATTGTTTTAAGCCACTAAGTTCATGATAGTTCGTTATGGCAGCAATAGAGAAGTATTAATTATAACCCTCGAATGGCATCATTAAAAGGGCTTTCGGACAAACATTATTTCAGTTTGCAAGCTGCCAACTGAGACAGTTTTTTCCTTTTTGGAATTATGTTTCTTTTCTGGTGATCTAAGTAGTCTGTGGTCATTACATAAAATTTAGAGAAAACACAGGACATTATAAAGAGGAAGAAAGCATATAAAGAGGAAGAAAGCAAGTAACTATGTCTTCCTTTCTGGAGGTTGATACTAATAATAATTGGATATATTCCCTCTTAGTTTTGTATTCATATTTTTATGATGGTGGAGATAATAATGAGCTTAGAGTTGTTGAATGACTATTATGTGCCAGGCCCTGTTCTAAACATTTTTGTTATACTAAGTCAGTTAATCCTCATTGCAATCTGTGAGATAGGCAGTTTGCCCACTACACAGATAAACCAACTGAGGCAAGAAGGTACATATACATGTATGATACACTGTATATCTGTATAGGACATTGCGGAGCAGCGCATGTGTCTCAGGCACTAAATTTCAGGGCACAGCTTAATCCTATGCTATACTGCTTATATTCTGAATATAACTTTTTTTTTTTTGGGGGGTTCGCGAGCTTCTCACTGTTGTGGCCTCTCGCCTTGCGGAGCACAGGCTCCAGACGCGCAGGCTCAGCGGCCATGGCTCACAGGCCTACCGCTCCGCGGCATGTGGGATCTTCCCGGACCGGGGCACGAACCCGTGTCCCCTGCATCGGCAGACGGACTCTCAACCACTGCGCCACCAGGGAAGCCCTGAATATAACATTTTTAATCTTGATTTTTTTCACTTAACCCTTTAAATATTTTCTCATGTTCTTTACAACTTCTCTGTGCAACCATGGATAGCACAAGTGTTACCCCTTTGGGGCCACATTTATGCCAAAATAATTACAGTGACCTTTATTATCATTGAAAAGAAGCGTATTGGAAATAGAAATCCTTCTGCTTAAAGGTGAAATTAGCAGGATGCTACTTATGATTGGAGGTGAGGGATGGGGGCAAGTGTCAAGTAAATTTGTAAAGTCATTTACTTGCAACTTGAAGTTAGTTTTCCTTTAGAATCATGTGATCCATTATTGGATTTTCACCAGCACCCCTTTCCCACATGCCTGTTTTTCATATAATGGAACTACTAAATGTTGTCAGTCCATCGAGATTTATCCCAAGAACTTGTGTGTGAGGGAAAGAAAATGTTCCCCAGCTGCAAAATTAGTGTAAAATTGATCAGAACAGAGATATGCAAAGTTATCTTTAAAAAATCAATATAGAATCTGGGCCTCTAAGATGTTATCCAGAAAAGGAAGACATAAGTCAGAAATTTCTTTGTCAGCCCTGGGAGAACTGAGAAAAGGGCTCCTGGGAGATCCACTGGCAGGACCCAGGGAAGCACTGCACGTGGTGGAGGGAGCTTTATTTAGCTGATGACCTCTGAAGGGACTGGCCTCTTTGCAAGACAGATGCAGCAGGTTATTTTAGGCGATGCAGTTAACATCAGCTCACTGTCTTATTTGCATTTCCACCCAAAAATTTCTGGTTAAAATTTGGCTTCCTAAATAGGTCTACCTACAGGGAGAGATTTCTCTGGCCATGCTGCCACCAGTATTATTGGCCTGTCACAGTTATATTTATCATTGTAAAGTAAAAGATGAGGATGACAGTTCTATAAATGTTTCCTAAGTTCAGTTAAATCAAATATACCTCTCAGGTATGGGTCCATTCTGACAGTCAGTCCCTGAACCGGGGGCTCACCAGGTAGCCTGGGTCTTCACCTCGCTTCATCCCCTTTGACTTTTCATTGGTCAAGCTTAGGCTCCAGTGTAATCTAAGCAATTGCAGTGTAGATTTGTAATTAAACAATAGGAAAAATACAGTTGTGGTCTTAGTAATTACTGCAACAGGATGGTAAGGTGCAATAAGAACAGTTTAATTAGAGAAGGATGTAGATGCTGCTGCTCATAATGACGAATAACATTAATCGGGGACTTAAAAATGGGTCAGGCATTGTATTATGCACTTTAAATGAATTATTTCATTTACTCCTAACAACTCCCTGAAGAAGGTACATTAGTATATACAATTTACCACTGGGAAAATTGAGGATCTGTAAGTCTAATGACTCATCCAAGGCTAGACATGCAGTAAGTGTAGAGCCAAGTTTACAAGTCCAGGCAGCATGAGTCTTTGCTCGAACTCTTAGGCATAATGCTCCATGAAGGGGCTGAAAGGAGGCTGTGGAAGAGAAGCTAAGGGGAACTTGCATTTCCGCTTCAGGAGTTGATGTTACTGGTTTCTGTTTAAACCTTCTTCTTTGTGATCCAGGTATAGGCAGACCTTGGAGATATTGCTGGTTGAGTTCCAGACCGTGGCAATAAAGGGAATATCGTAATAAAGTGAGTCACAAGAGTTTTTTGGTTTCCCAGTCCATCTAAAAGTTATGTTTACACTATCCTATAGTCTATTAAGTGTAACATTATGTCTTAAGAAAACAATGTACATACCTTAATTAAAAAACACTTTATTGCTAAGAAATGCTAACCATCATCTGAACCTTCAATAGGTTGTAATCTTTTTTGCAGTTATAACATCAAAGATCACTGATCACAAATCACCGTAACAGCCATAAGAATAATGAAAATGTTTGGAATATTTTGAGAATTACCAGAATGTGGCACAGAGACAGGACGTGAGCAAATGCTGTTGGAAAAATGGTGTCGATAGCCTTGCTCGATGCAGGGTTGTTACAAACCTTGTTTGTAAAAAGTACAATATCTTCGAAGTGCAATAAAGCGAGGTAAGCCTGTATATCATTAGTTTTTCCTACCGACCAATCAGGGTTCGATTCCATTCTTGGCTCACCACTTAGAGAGGAGAGGATCTTCTAAGAGAACTAGATAAGAATTGAAAGGGACTGGGGCATAGTGATGAAGAAGGGGTCAAAGAAGATACATGTGTACAGAAAAGATTGCCAGATAAAAAATTAAACAAGCAGTGGACATGGAAGAACAGGGGAAAGGCAGGTTTAATGGCCAATTATAACCTTTTTGAGGAAGAAAAAAAGAGTGGATCAGACGTCAGTTACTTGAAAAATCTTTGTTTCTGTTTGGCTAGGCGGTGAGGGGTAAGAGAAGCATGTTCAGCTGCCCATCAGTCTGTATGTTCCCTGGTTTGTAACTGCAAGTCACTGCTATTGCCTTTGAGCTCTGGAACTGTTTTATTGCCTTTATAAACTACTAGCTATCTTCTTTTAGGGGGAAATAACAGATGGTCATGCTGGAAGTGAGCTTTTTATCTGAATCTTCAAAACCTTTTTGTACACAATTTATGAGGTTCACTTCTTTGCAAATTCAGTGCTTTCTTGTAGCTTTTCCTTTTGAGATGAGCCACAAGAGCCTCATTTTTGTTGGGCATTGCCTATTAGTGGCAAAACTCCTTTCTTATTTAATCAGCTTCTCCAAAGGAATAAGGCTGAGTCCAGATACGTTCTATTTATAAGGGTGAAAAGATTTTGGTGGTCTGACTAAAAATAACACGTGGAATCTGCCACCTGGGTCTCTCTTCCATATTCATCTTGTATTTTTATGCTTTTTGCTCATGGAGTTCAAGCTCACAGGTCAGCCCCTGTGCGTGTGGAAGAGATTTGACTGGGTCAAGTGTTCACGGCTGAGGTATGGAGACCACGGCAGTACTGCCGAGAGGCTGACCCCAACCTGGCCAAGTGGTTGCGAGGCAAGGCTGATGTAGCCCCAAATCTTGGTCATTTTGGGTTCAGAATGTATAGAGGATTGTTGCACACATTCTGTGTTGAGTGGGAAAATAGGAGTAAAATAGTATTGCCTGTGAAAAAACCCTAGGAAATGGTGTATTTTTTCATAATTACTAAAAATCTACAAGATAGTTGGATATACACTAGGCTCAGAAAACAACCAACCAAACCAAATCAAAATCAACTTTGCAGAGTTAAGCCTATTCAGAGCTCATTTTATTCTACAGGCTTATTTCCCAAATCACTTGGAATTAATACTGTTCTGATTTATTATTCAGATCCCTGAGTCGACCAGAGATACTCGTAGCCAGCTTTTGTGCAATCTCTGAATACTGCCTAGGCTTAAGGATGGCAGGATAGTTTAGTGGCTAAGAACGCAGGCTCTGGAGTCAAGGTCTGGGTATCATCATCTGGGGTCTGTCACTTACAGGCTGTGTGACTTTGGGTTAATTACTCAGGTTCTTTAAGCCCTTCAGTTTTTCTCAGCTGCAAAATAGACATAACAAGTATCGCCAGGGTTGTTATGAGGATGAAGTTATACACATAAACCTAAGCACATATACACCCACATAGACTTGACCCTTGGAGGCAGGGGGTGCCAACCCTCCAGGCAATTGAAAATCTGCGTATAACTTTACAGTCTGCCCTCTTTATATGTGATTCTGTGCCCACAGATTCAACCAACCTCAGATCAGATAGTACTGTTATTCGTATTTGGTGAAAAAAATCTTTGTATAAGTGGACCCAGGCAGTTCAAACTTGTGTTGTTCAAGGATCAACTGTATATGTGTGTGTGTGTATATATATATATATATATATATATATATATATATATATTGCATAACATATATGTGTGTGTATAAAGTGCTTGCATATAGAGTACATGCACAGTAAATCACAGCTGTGTTGTTGTTCAGTTGCAGACTTTGCTCCTGTGTTGTCTTTGTGAAGGAAGAAATACTGTTTTCAGTGTTGGGTACTGCTTGCTTTAATTATTTTGGCTTAAGAGAGAGGGCTAAGTCTATGGTAAAAAACCCAAAAATCTCTTCTGGAAACTATCCTTCTATTTTGGAGGATCGTGAAGGCTCTGAGAAGTCCTGCATTAAAGAAACCTATTTAAATTCTTATATGTGGAATATTCCCAAAATGATTTGATCACTAAAACCATTTTTTTCCAGTTATACCTATTAACATCCTGTGGATCCACTGCTCTGCAAACCCAGCAAACACACTTTAGGAAATTCTGATCAGCTGATGTAGCCATGGTCTTGAACATAGAAATGTGTATCTGAATCCTTGTTCTATACTTTCTGGCTCTGTGTCTGTGGTATAGCACTGAACGTGACTCTCTCCTATCAATTAAAACTCAGCTTGGATGTTATCAGCTCCAGGACCATCAGCCCCCAGATAACTGGGTAAGAAACACTTCCTGTATGTGCTCATGATCAGTGCCGTGAAGAGCCATATTAGAACCTGAGGCAAAAGAAAAAATCAGTTAACCTGATACTGTCTTCATTTAAAATGAAGTTCCTCACTTGTCTCACCCTCTTTCTGGCCCTGCTCATAATGCCATCAACATGCATCTCTCATACTATAATAATTTATTTATATATGTCTCCACAAATAGACAGAAAGCTCCTGGTGGGTCAAGACAATGCCTTATTAATCTTTATATCTATGACACTTAGCTCAGCGCTGGCACAAAGTCAGTTTTCAACAATGTGTTTCAGACTAGAATGCTCTTCCCCTAGAGATCCACTCCCTCACTTCCTTTGTGTTTCTGCTTAAATATCATCATCAGAGAAGCTTTTCCTGTAAAGTGGTATCACCCTCACTACCACCTAGGTATGTATCCCTTATGTCATTTAATTTTTCTTCATAGCACTTATCATGATCTGACATCTTTTTGTTTATTTTTTTATTGTGTATCTCTCTTGACTTAAACCTTGGTCTAGCAGCGTCTTGGTCTGTTTTTTCATTTCTGCATCTCCAGTGCCTAGAAAAATAGTACCAGATACATAACAGATAATAAATATTGGCTGAGTAAGTAAATTACTGAATCAATAAAGGAATGGATGAATGAATATCTTTTTCCTTCATTGCCTTTCTGGCAAATGGGAATAATGCAACCTATCTCATCTGCTAATAGCATTAAATAAGAATGTGCGTAAGGTGCCACTTAATGTATTGCTTTGTGCGCTGGTGGTATTTAGTAAATGTTTGCTAGATAAATCTGAATCTAGCTGAAGGTGAATGGAAAATGGTAATTCATGTGAGGGTTTTAGGGGACTAACGATAACTTCTGTGCCAGAGTTTTCTAATACTACAAAGAGAATGCTAGATACCATGGTGTCATTTATTGAGTGGTAATTTTATAAACAGAATATTAACGAAACAAGGGTCACATTCCTTCTTTAAAATAGCGTGTATGTTTAATCAGAGACCGAGATAATGGTTTTTCATCTTACGGCTCCTGTTATTGGACAGTCTCATGGGACGACCTTAGGTATTGGGGTCCCAGCGTCTGAGCTTGAATTCTGGCTCTGCCCTTTAGTGAGGGTGGGTAATTTCAGATAAGTCATTTACCCTCTTGTTGAGTCTTAGCTTCTTCATTTGTAGGAGAACATCATTATAAATAGCTATAGCTCAGATTTGATATAAGAATCACGTGTGCTCATTTTATAAAACAGTGAGTGTTCGTTGCTGCTGCTCTTTTTACTGCTATTACTACGAGTACCACCACTGCTGCTGCCAGTACCACCACTACTTCTACCAAGCAACATCCTCTGGAAATTTCCAAGCCAAGCTATAAGGAAAAAATGCTACCCACTGTTTATTTCTCTCATAAACTTTTAGCAGATCTCAAAGTCTAAAGGGAAGCTGGAACCAGGACCAATTGCAGTAACTGATTGTATACACTGACAGAACCTGGAAGCCGCTCTTGCCACCAGTAAGTCATCCTTCGGGTCCTGTAACTCTGATCTCCACATCCCCTTAGGATTCTCCTGCTACCTGAGGGAGGTTCCAGCACAGTCTGACACATCTTTAGGACTGCGTCCATTAGCAAACAAGGTTGTTGACTTGCACGTGTAGAACTGCAGATGTTGCACGTTGCTGGTTTATTAACGTTCTGTTTCTGTTTCCCATGTGTATGTTTTTCAGAAGGTAAGCAAGCAGCTTTGCACAAATCAGTCTTTCCTGTTGAGCCAAGACCATTTCAAGAAAAAGTCTGGAGGAGTGACCTCCGCACACCTTGGAAGGGGGAGTCAGTAAGACAGTGCGACGCTGACCACAAAGCAGAATCCAAGGAGCCATTCTTGAAAGTGAATCATGAATTTTTATTCCACAGCTAAAAAGGTATATTTGTTTATGCTCTGTTTTCCTGAGGACTTGAAAAGAGCTAACAGCTTCTCTTGGGTGCTCTTTCTTACCCACCTCTGCTCTCTTTCTTTTGCTATTCCTTCATTTGTTTTTGGAGAGATCACAGCAAACTGTGTGTGTGTGTGTGTGTGTGTGTGTGTGTGTTCTCAGCAAGCACTAGAAAGAAAAGGTAGCCCCCTTAAAATAGAATTACTGGGAACATGTCTCCTTAAAAGAAGCTGAGATAACAGATTTCATTAAAACTGTGCTTTAATGGAATTGAAGGGAACTCTATCATTAAGATGTGTTTGCAGAAGGTAAGTAGAAAGTGATTTTAATTACTGAGTGTTTCTAAATATATCCACCCACTCCTCCCCAGCCAAGTCATGCAGATCTGTAGTTCCAGGAGAAACTATATCATATTGTTGAAGGGTGACTAGAGATATTCAAACTGACCATGATTTGGTAAGGTCTCTGCTTAATTAACCAGAACAGAGACAAAACTAGAATTTTCGACCTGTATAGTAGAATAGAATTTTGAAATATACTTAGCAGTTTTGCTATAACCTATATGCAGAAATGTAGAATAGGCAATGCTCAGATTTCAGGTTTCGTAATTGAATTCTGTGAGGCGCAGATATACCTCCAAACAGTTTTGGAGATTTTGTTTTCGGGGTATCCTGCTTTCCAGGAAGTCAGGCCCTGGGGTGTGGCCTGCAGTGGTGCAGATGTGACCCAAGAGCTCTGAGCTGGAACAGGAAGAAGATGGTGAGCACCAGATGGGAACCTGCATGTCTTAGCAGATGGGTGGCCTGATAGCAGGATCTTGGCTTATGAAACCTCCCTTTAAAAAAGAGGTCCTCATCACATGAATGTGTGACAGTTGTAAGCACTCTTTGGGAAATAATGGATGATGGTTGGGTAAGTTGATTTAGGTAAGTTAATACAGTAGAACCTGGAATGCTTGGCATGAGATTTTGACTTGATACATTTGGCAACTAGGAACGATTGCAGTTTTTCGGGAAGGGGATTGACAAGGCAAAAAGATGCTTAACATTGGAAGAATGCAAAAAGTATTAGGAGGACCCAAAAGACATTTAGGCTTCTAAGGTTAAGGACTGGATCTTACTCATTTTGAAGCCCCTGGCGCCTACTCGCACAAAGTCTGGCACACAATTAGTACTCAGTAGATGTTTGTTGAACGAGAAAAAGAACAATTCTATCTCATGGATATCCAGATGGATTCCTGAAGTTTAGGGTGATATGAGGAAGGTTTTTTTTCTGGTGAGAAATTATTACCTCATAAAATAGAAACTGAGGGAAAATGTGGAACATCCTGAGAGGTCTCTATGGGTTAGACTAGCCTAGCCTAAATGTCAGAGGTAATTTTGCTGACTTTTCAACTCCAAGATGTATATGACATACTTAACTCTATTACATAGATGAAAAGTGCTAAAAAAAAAAAAAACCCAACAACTAGCCATGAACAGACACGGAGGAACGTTAAATGCCTATTGCTAAGTGCGGGGAGCCGGTCTAATTATACTGTATAGTTCCAACTACATGACATTATGGAAGAGGTAACTCTATAGCAGTAGTAAAATAAATAAATAAATAAATAAATCAAGGGTTGGGTGGGAGGGCAGGAAGGTAAAAATATGTGAGCACAGTGAGCTCATAAAAATATATGAGCACAGAGGATCTTTAGGGCATTGGAATTATTCTGTGTGATACTGCAGTGGTGGATTCATGGTAGTATGCATTTGTCAAAACCCAGACAACTGTACAAACACAAAGAGTGAACTAATGTAAGCTATGGACTTCATGTAATAATAGTACGTTGTTTCATCAGGTGTAACAAATGTGTTGCACTAATGCAAGGTAATAATAGGGGAAGCTGGGTGGGGTGGACAGGAGAACTATCTGCACTTTCTGCTCAGATTTTACATAAACCTAAAACTGCTCTAAACACTGTTCTATCAGTTATTTTTTAAAAACTGTAAATCATCACAACATAGAGGAATGAGGCATCTCTGAACTTGGGGGGACATTTTTTCTTTCTCAACTGTTAGAACTGGTATACCTCTCTTTCTTTACTAATTAGAAAGGAACTAGGAGGAATTGAGAAGAGAACCATTATTCTCCTCTATCAGACAGAAATAAAAGGGAATTGTAGCCATCAGTTCCTTTCTGCACGCTCCAAGCTGGGAGATACAGGAGAAAAATGATCCTTCTTTGACTTTTCTCCTGGGTAATTGATGGCTTATGTTCTTGGCAGTTAAAAGCAACAGACATGTGAGTGGGCATATGGAAATCAAAGGGCAGAATGTAGTTGAGTCCAGGCCTCATTCAACATTTTACAAAAGCAGGGTCCGGTATTCAGAAGGAAATGGCAAATCCCATTCCCGTTTTTGATCGTGCCTCCTTCTCCATCATTTCCCTGGGGTTTGTCCCAGGTTTCCCTCATTTGGGGGCACACATTGCCTCTTCTGGTATTACCCCAGCTTGCATTATGTTGCCAAATGGTATTTCCAGTTTGTATTTCATTCTTATCCAGCTATTAGAGCGGACCTGGCCTTCTGTTGAATTTTTTTTTTAAACTTTGTCGTAAATTGAGCAGATGGATTTGAATTCCTAATTTTCTTCAAAAATGTGCCAAGTACTTGTTCCTTTGTTCCTCATTTTCCCCTTGACCAATTCCTTGTGGCTTTGCATTTTTCTTCTTTGAAAGCATCTCACTGATGAGTCTTGTGTCTCTGCGTTCTGGGCATCTCATTGGTAGCTAAGTTTTCTAGAATCCACTCCCCTTTGGTTTTGAGATGCTATCCTGGTTTCATACACCTAGGATATATGGGTGTACACATAAATATTACCACTGAAAATCATATTAGAATGCTAAAATATAATTTATACTTCTTGAGATTGCTTAAGAAAAAAAGGACATATTTGTCTAGTGTTTTATTGAATACTATGACCAGTTAATTTGCAAAGTGTTTCAGATAAATTATGTCAGTTTAACCTCATTGAATCCCTTCTGATAGCTCCATTTTACAGAATAAGGTAGTGAGACCATAAGAATGGACTTGCCCAAGGTCAGTTACCCAGTAAGCAGTAGAGCCAGGAGGCAAATTCAAATTTATTTTATGCTATAGTCTACTTTTCTTTTAATTAAAAGAGCATTGGCTTTGTAATGTGAAGGGTTTCTGTTTGAGTTCTTTTGGGGAGCGGGGATGTTCTTTAAGTTGCTTAAACCTTAGTGTTTCTGTCTATAAAGCGGGGATGATGTTCATTTACTTTCAGTATTGCTCTGAGAATTAAAAGAGATAATGAAGTTAAGTTCCTTGCACAGGGCCTGGTATGCAGTTATTTGTGGAGTGTCAACTTTTTTTTATATTCAAACTGTTGTTTTTATTGCTGATGCTATAATTCATCTTGGGACAGAAAGGTAAACTGTACTAAGTTAAGACAAAAATTACCATATGTTACTAGATCTGTGTCCTTTACTGAACCCTGTGACTGAAACCACCTCTTACATTGTTGTCTGTGAGTCCTCTCCTGACACCTGCCATCCCACTGCCCAGCCCTGTGGCAGAAAGTTCTTTGGAGACCTGATCGTTTTGCTCCCTTTTCTCGGGGGCCATGTTTTTCTGGTCAGGAGCAACCTAATTATGCCAGCCTTTCTTCTTCCATCAGCACAACTGTCTGAAACCTTCCTACCAAACTGATCTATTTTCCATCCTTAGTGAGACTCTTTCTGGATTAAAGGTCAGCGGTCCACACGTCAGCCGCCTGTGCAGATAGCACTGTTACACTGACTTGTCTTGCCTTTTGTCTCCCTCCTGCCTCTCCTGCTACCAGTCCGATATTAAAGCCTTACCTTGGCTGGGTGCTTACTTGCCTCTGCCACCGGTTTTAGGAGTTGAAATGCAGACCCAAGATTATCAAAATAAAACAAACAAAAGTAGTAATGAACAACGCAAACAAGCAGCCAGTGACCTTTCACTCTGTAACGTACGGCATATATGGTGTTTTAAATTCAACACATGTTAAAATTCCTTTTCTTTTTTTGCTATAGTGTAGAGGTGCTTTTCTTTTTGTTTTCTTTAAAAAATCTGTTTTCAATCTTGGAAAGTCTTCCTTGTTTCCAGGACACAGAATCCAGACCAATCTATAACAACTTAATAGTGTGTATGTGGAGGGGGGTTGTTGCTGGTAGTTTCCTATACCTTGGTACTTTATTTGTGTCAAGTTAATGTACATGGAACAAATACCTGAATATCTGTGATGTGTCAAGTGGAACTTGCATGGCACTGGGCATGAATTAGCAAACAGAAAAGCCCCAGGGAGCTGTGGGTGGATAGGCATGAAAAAGGAAACATAAGGATGCTACACTTCAGCTCAATGGGAGGCCAACTTCCAGTCCTGATACAACCAGGAAGCTCTAGTTCCCACTAAAGAGCTAGCACGTGAAGACCACCCTGCCCCCAGCAACCTCTGTGGCCCAAAGAATACAAGGTAGCCTGGTAGAGAATGCTTAGAGAGGGGGATGAGACAGAAAGGCATCTTGCAAATGGTATTGATGGAGAGTAGTCTGCTTAGTGGTATTATTGACTTGAGTTGTTGATTTAAAACCTGAACTTTGATCACTTGCAGACAGAGACATAGTTTCACAGTTACACATCTGAACTCTGATACAATGAAGCAATGTCCTAATGTGCCCTGTAATGTGATGAGAAGAGAGGGAGTGGAAAAGACCATCAGGCATCCAAACTGGATCAGCCACATATCCTTCTGAGGTACAGAGGGCTAAGGGTTCAACAACAACTTACTAAGAAGGAGTTGGAAGTTGATACCAGAATCTCACCTTATGGAAATTGAATTTTGTTATATATTAGCTATGTTTAAGCTAACTATCATGAACAAGAAATAAATCCCACAAAACTCCTTTGGGTTTTATGATAGTTGGCTGTTTGGGGGAATGGCTGGTCCAGCCT